CAATCGTTCTCGGTTACATAGAACAAGAAAGTTTTTGACATACACAAGAAAAAAAACTTAAATCTGATCACTTTGATGTCAGGTAAGAAAGAAATCTTCCATAGAGATTAAATAAGAAAATTTAACTAAGTCTGAGGGAATTTTAAGATTAAAAGAATTTTAATCTTGTAACTTAGAATCTTCCCTAGAAATATTGTCTTTACTAAAGAAATTTCAAGATTAAAAGAATTCTAATCTTGTAAGTTAGAATCTCCTCTAGAAATATTTCTTCACCGAAGAAAAATCAAGATTTAAAGAAGCCTATTTTAGAAAAATTATCTCCACTCAAGAAAAATGAGAAAATTGTTCTTGGTGCAAGAATGTAGGTATACAGAAAATTAATTTTTTTTCTTATTTTTTTCTTATTATTCTCCCCCAAAGAAAAATTTTCTTCCCATGAGAAAATAAGAAAAACAAGAAAAAGCATTTTTGGTAGTGTATGCGTTATGGGTGTGTTCGGGCCATCGAAGATAGCGATAAACTTATCGCATCGATTTTAATTAAATTCAAATTTTGGAAACATTAGGTTCTGAGCTTCTTCGAGTACTAAGCCGTTACCCTGGGAAAATTCGTTTTTTCCATGCAGCCGTGGTTAAAAATGACAAAAAAAATTACCCCTTTTTTAAAAATGTACTTTGATGTGCCTTATTTACCCCTAAATAAATTGGGCGCAGAAAATATCAATCAAGCGTATTGATAAGCGGCACGGCACCCCTTTCCACCAAAAGAGTGAAAAATTCCGACCCGCGTTTAGTACAGAAATAACAGCCCGTCGGGCTGAGGGTGTCAAATTGCTCGAAATACGGAGGGAAACTCCGGTCCGAGACCTTAACTTCACGAAATCTCTCTCATTAAGTGAGAAAAGTGTTTTAGGGGGTGATGAATTTCAAAATTTTCGGGAAGAATATCAGACCCCCTACTGTGGTCATGTTTTGGGGACCCAATGCGTGACTTGCGCTGCAAAAGTTGCCCTTCTGTACCTGACCCCTAACCGGTATGCTGTAAAAATATCCTGGGGAGAACCCTGCTGTATGTTTACATGACAATCATATGATTTTTGTCTCTTTCATTCTTATTTTGCAGAATCAGATGCAAGAGGAATATTCCTTCCTAACAACAGCCCTGCAGGAGGAGAGATACAGATA